CAAGGGCGACAAAATATATGTTACAATTAGTACAAAGGAAAGAGGGTAAATAGACGTATAATAAAGTTCTTATAATTTATATGAAATAGTACAATATACTAAGTATAATGAGTAAAGGGTACATATTGTGAACCCTAAAGGAAAACCTATAGAAAAAATAACATAGAAAACTAAAACATACTCATGGAGTACAAAAGATGACAGAAAGGAAGCACAGAGGAACCAAAACAAATTGTGGAAGCCATTTGGAGGAAAGGGGTCTTGATTCCAATTTGAAAATAGAAAGCCAAAAAAGATCATCACTCTCACTTTGGTCACTCTAATGACCAAAGCAAGCTGGATAAGCTACATAATCATAGTGTGTAAAATCCACTAAAGATTAAAGACACAGGAAACCTAAATCAACTCCAAAGAATAAAAAGTTTGTTTTAAAAGAGATCATCAGCTGCTATCATCCTTGACTGAAATAGAGAGGATAAGAAAATGGCTTGAAAGTAAGGTTAAAGAAAAATCAGTCTAAACTTTGAAAACTATGTGTGGATTGGCATACCAGTGAAGAATCCAGAGGCACCACAGATAAAAAGAGACTGTATTAAGCCTCCCTGCTACACAACACACATTCACTCACTCATTCAAACTCATCCTACCAGCCTTCAAAAATGAGGGCAGGAAAAGAGCTGAGAGAATCTTCCCAAAGTACTTTAGGTTCTCAGCTAAAGATTGGGAGATTGGGCATAAGGGGGTGAGAGAAACTTCTCAGAGGCAAGACCCATCTTTACAGAATTTAGGGCAACTACAGTCAACCTCCACAGACCAAGGATGGAGTAGTAGGACTGAATGAGCTCTCCAAGGCACAAAAAGCAGATGGCAGAACTTGACAGCAAAGAGAATTCCTCAGCATTCAAAAATGAAGGCAGCTGCTCTATAAAGCAGGGAGATAACTCCTACAATTCAAAAGGAAGTTTTGGCATAGCCCATAAACACATGAGAAGGTGCTCAATAACATCAGTCAAGAGGGACATGCAAATTAAATTAAATGTTAAATAGAACAACCCAGTACTACCTCACCCACTAGGTTGGCTAGAAATAATCAACATTTGTTCACTCTGGGATGTTCACCTTCTCATCCCCTAGAAAGAAACTTACGTCCACAAAAATCCTTATACAACAATGTTGCTATTAGCTTTATCCAGAATAGCACAAAGCTAGGAAAAAACCACATGTCCATCAAGAGGAAACTAAACATATAAATTGTATACTTAGACAATGGAATACTACTCTACAATAAAAAGGAATGAAGTACTAATGCAGGCAACACCATGGATGCATCTCAAAACCATTATTTTGAATGAAAGAAATTAAGCACAGAGAACATACTGCATGGTTCCATTTATATTAAGCTCAACAAGAGCTTAATCGATCTATAAAATTAGAGCAGTATTTACCTATGGTTTTCATGTCACTAAACCCTGGCACTAGTGTTCTCTGCCTTCCAAAATGCTAAGGGAGAAAAAGACATCTAATAGAAAGGGTACCAAGTACATTGTAAAAAGGCAAACCGCAGGTGACAAACAAAATGAACCATCATACACACAAACTACTGATGATGTTATTACTAATCCTGAACTTCCTACTATCAGTAACAACTTTTACAATTTCAAAGCATAATAGCTAAAAGGGTAGTTCAACATACAATACAGTACAGCAGTTAAGGAACTAGGAGAATTCAAAATACAATTAATCCTATGCCTCAAACAAATTGTTTTAGGCCTCTGGGGCTGCTTGCACTTTTGGTTGCAATTCACAGAAGCCCCTTAGAGCTAACCTAAGTAAAAAGACTATAGATCTCAAAAATGAACCCATGACTGGAACCTTTTTTTTTTTTTT